AAGCCAATGCAACTTATTTTTTCCATGTCTAATTTTATCAAAGATTGCTCAGCTACTAGAGAACTAAGAGATGGAGACTTATTTTGTACAAAATCTAGAGAGTGAAGAAACTCTTTAAAGACCATAACACGTTGAAGTGGATATACTTTAGATTTTTCGGGAAAAGTACTGTACAATGTTTTGGGAATATCTTCTCTGTTCGGGAAATGTTCATCTGCTAAAGCAAGCACAACTAAGGCAGGATCAAGATACCAGCTGTGCCTGCCAAATGATTTTATTGCTGAAGTAGCTCCATGAAGACTCCATTAACCTCTTCATCTGCCACAGCGTTTTCATGTTCTACAAAATATTTTAACAAAATTAGATGAATTCATCCATCAAACAATTAGCTAATCTTTTTTAACCTGTTTTCTTATTTCTTATAATTATTTTTAACTTGATATGAAGCAGCAGTTGCTGATACTGCTCTAAAGAACCACTGAGTGTAAAAGATGCCGACAAGCATAGCCATATCTCTTTTATATTTTCCTTTGATAAGTTTAAAATGATTTCTAACAGTAAATATAATTGAAGGTAATCTAATGTTTTTAATGATTTTATGTGTTTTAAAAGCTGATTGTCTGGACCAGACATTTAACTACCGGGAGAAATCTTGTTAAAGTGGGTAATATGTTTTTCTAAAACAAAATGTCTACATGCAAGGAAATTTATGGCTGCCCAAGCTTATGCACCATTCTTGTTATTACTCCGTGGTGCTTTACAGTGTTGGAAGCAGTAGTATCAAAACATATACATTATATATGATGACTGAGGTCATAAGATTCTATTAGATTGTAAACTGCTTTGAACTGTATTTTTACAGCACCTGATTACTTTCACTAGTACAGCTAATCTTTCTCTTGTGGCTGAAGTGTTATGATGATTAAGATAAATGTGCTACGAGTTTTGTGTCCTCCAAGGTAGCCTTCAGCTTAGATATAATGCAGCAGTTTCCTTCTGCTTCTATACAATATGATGTAAATGTAGAAACTTTGTTCGAACAACAAACTACGTTTTTAAAAGAAACGGATGGTTTGGACTCTCTTAGGTAAAGATAATACTGGATTATTTCTTCAACAGGTAAAAACTGAATAAATGATAGTGTCTTCCAATTTTTTTTTAACTCAGAATATTTCTTTGCCTCTATTTTTTATTTTAGCAAGAACTTTTGGCATAACTTTTTTTTTACATTTTATTTCATTTATATAAACTATAAAAAACTAAACTCAAATATACTTTTTTTAATTCTAAACACAAACTTCATTGAGAATTAGCAAGAACCATTTTACCCATGTTTAAACTTTGTTAAATCTCATCATATTTATAAGAAATAATATTCTGTATTCTTATAAGAATAGCAGTTGAAAATTGAGCATGGTTAATACATTACACTTACAAATCCTGTTGAAAAGAATCTTCGTAAATAATACAAAACAAGTTTATGTTTAGAAGATATTTTTCACATTATGTGAAAAATAACTTCATAAAGAAATTGTTAAGGTAATTATCTCAACAAAAAATGTGGACACACTGCCCAACGATAAATTTTTAACTAAATCTGTAAAGGAGTTGTTACATATCTCAAAGGAAATTCAAAAAGAAAATAAAGAAAGAAAATAAGAACTCGTGCTTTTGAAAGAAAAAATAACTTTCCAAAATAAACTTATTGAAAAACTTAAGATAGAAAACAGACAATCGGAACTGGATATAAGTCTCTTACAGCCAAATACCGAAATTAAAGATCGATGGTTATACGCAATGTGAAAATAAAATTAACAACACAGCTGCAACAAAAAATCTAACTCAAAAAACGCATAAGTCTTTTTTAAACGCTGAATACAAACCGCAACTATTAAAAACATTCGCAAATGTAGTAGCTCAAACTCTCTCAATCACAAATCAACCACAAATCTACGCCATGTTGACCACAAAAATAAATGAAAAAACCAATATCGATAAACAACTACTCGTAGCAAACACCAACAATGATGAAAATAATTTTACTTTAGTGTGCCGAAATAGTAAATCTAATCACAAAACACAAAATCGTTCATTAAAAAAAAACATAGAATTTCAGAGCCCGTGTTCGGAACAAAAATTTCTGAAAATAAAACAATTACAGGTGAAAGAATAGTTTGTAAATTTGACATTTTTGTCGGAGGGGTAAGCAATCAAATCAATGAAGAACTTTTTATCTAAAAACTATCTAGAAACAGAAATAGGAATCTCCCCCTTATCTGTTATATTAAATAAAGAAAGTAAGTACAATAGATCATACAAAGTTACCGTAAACAACACAGATAAAAATATAATATTTAACCCTGCTTTATGGGATAACGATATAATAGTTAAACCATACTGAAAAAAACGTTTATATACTAACATATTTCAAAATCTGAAAACTAACGGAGACCAGGAAGATTTTCAAAGATCAAAATGGATTTAGGGAATATTTTTAAGGAAGATAAACTTCCAACAACATTTAATCTATGTTTTTTCAACTGCCACGGTCAAAAGTTTAATTTTGAGTATACCAAATTGTTGATTCTCTCTCATGACATAACTTTATCGAATTTAGAATATTTCATAATAAAAAATATCAATAAAAATACCCACTCTTCATTTTTCCACCAGGCTAACGAACATGAGCAGGGTCGACCGTTTGGCGGAAACGCTTTTTTTATTCGGAAATTTTATTTGTTTCAAAACATTATTATTCTATATGAAGATGATCATATCTTCGCAATAAATCTTAAAAAAAATTAGACTAATATTATTATTATTGGCATTTATCTTTTATCGTCGCGCAATAATCAAACATCACTGGAGGATTACAAGAGTCAGTATGATATAATTTCAGGTGTTATTAATAACTACGAGGGCGTGTGCTGAATTTATTGTCCTCGGTGACTTTCAATCTTTTCCTCAAGGAGTATATGACTCATTAAAGAGAGCTAGCTCTATGAAAAATAACTACTCCGTAGTTTTATCAAGTTTTATTAAGTCGAATGAACTTGAATTAGTAGACGTAACAAAAGGCTCTGGACCTAAGATAACGTATCACCATAATACATTACCAAACCCATCTTACATAGATCACATAGCTTTCTCAAAATATACGTCTCTTTTTTATTCCAGTTGTTTCGTAATTCCTTTTTTATCTCAAAACATGAATGATCATTTACCAGTATTAATTGAAGTTGGAATTATTGGACAATCTTCTCAAGAAAACAATCATAAAAACTCAGACAAGTACAGCATTTTATAATTATGCCTGGAATAACAATGATTTTTTACAATTATATAACAATCGCTTAAAAAAAATCTACACATAAGAGAGATTCGATATCTGTCCCAGAAAGATTTAGTGTTACAATACGTTTTTTGGTAACCGGTGACGCACAGACAAGAATAGGTATCAACTACCGCATAAGTCCTTCAGTTGTCGGAAGAATAATACGTGAAACATGTAAACTATATAGATATTAATTTTTAAAAAGAAATTCACAGACATACTATCTTCTGAAAATGAATTAGAACAAACAGCAACTGACTTTAAGAACAAATGGAATTTTCCCCATTGCTTAGGTGCTATTGATGGAAAATATGTAATAATACAAGCTCCAGCGTACTCTGGATCGTCGTATTATAACTACTAAAAGATAGTTCTTTTGGCTGTGTGCTATGCAAAATATCAATTTTCACTACTATATATATGAAATAGTGGAAGGCAAAGTGATGGTAGTGTATGTGTAAATAGTCAACTTAGTTATGCTGTTGAAAACGATCTGCTTGGCATTCCTAAAGCATGTAAAGCAAAAGATACTGAAACCATATTGTCTTACGTGTTTGTTGAAGATAATGCTTTTTGTTTAAACCCTCACATGATGAAACCTTATCCATCTCCAAATCTCTTATACAAACAGCTTATATTTAGCTACAGATTGTCACGTGTAAAAGGAACAGTTGAGAACGCATTTGGTATAGCTGCATCCAGACTTCGGATTTTTAGAAGACTTTTTATTGCTTCAACAAAAAAAATTGTTCTTATAACAAAAGCTGTTGCCGCACTTTTTTAATGTCAAAAAGAAAAAAGAGTCTTAATAATGATTACTGTCCAAATACTTATATTGATCAGGATGGTCAAAATGAATTAATACCTGGTGAATGGAGAAAAAAAATTGGCGATGTGCAAGGATTACAAGATAATTTAAATTCTGCTTGTAATAATCATTCTAAAGATACTCAAAAAATTAAAAACAACTTTAAAAGAAATTTTAATACTGATGGGGCAGTTGATTGGCAATGGTCATTAATAAACAATACCAGAAAGTATCAGTTTTTTTTTTTAATTTGCAACCTTCTCAATTTGAGGGATTGCAAATTTTATATGGTCATAATTTTTGAACGCTGAGAGATAATACTATGAAACTTAAAATTTATCGATGAATATAAGTCTAATTAAAAATATTATAAAAACTATTTCATCAACTTGTTGCTCTCACGTTTGGGGTAGTGTCGGCCAAATTTTTGTGGTTTTTTGTTCCCAAGCTCCAATCATCGTAATTTTTTGCAAAGCATCTTTATTTGTTATAAGATAAACATATAAATGTTTGGAGCTTGCTCCATGTCTGGAAGTTTGCTCCATGTATGGAAGTTAGTTTTTGATCTTTGAGATCAAAAAATGCTGGCGCCGCCACTGAACAATATTTCTTGTCAAAAGGACTAAAAGTTTCAAATTTAAAACCAATATTTTTCTTTCTTTATAAAATAAATAACAAAAAAATTATTTTTTATTCATATTTTTCATCAAATTTAAGCTCATACAGCAATTGTGATATTTTATTTTTTGCTATCCTTTTTTTTTTTGAAGCGGTAAAGTTTTCAATATCGGTACAAAATTTTGGCAGTAAAATGTGTCTTCACATTGACTATCAGTCATAACTTTTTTTAGCTCGCTATCAAAGTTTGAAAGTTTTTTGCATTATTCTTCTATCCGCCTCATTGATAATTTTCCTTTTTTTTTTGGCTTCTACAGCAATTGGAGTAGCAATCTGATCTTCATTTTCAGTTATAGTTTCTTCTAATTCAAAATTGCTTTTAGTTGAAATATTGCTGTTCTTAATAGTTGCTTTTAGGTAAGTTGAACCAGCACCTGGTTTGATCATCTTATCACGTTTATTGAAGCCTTTTTTTAAAACATCATTTAAATTTTTTAATTTTTTTTTTCCAAAACTTTAACTGAAACACAATAAATATAAACATTTATGTAGACTAGTGATCAAAAATTTAGACTCAGAATAAAACTTATAGTTTCTTAGTGACTTGTGATTTAAAAAAATGTCTTTTTTTTTATTATTATTTTATTTTTAATTCAGTTTATTATTTATGAAATTCTCTTTAATATATATAAAAGACAAGAAAAGAAAAACAAGTTTAAAGTATTTTATTTTGAAAATAGCAAAATCATGTAAAAAGATACTTACAAAAATCTTGTTCATAAGTTTAGACTCAGGGTTTTTCATTTTAAACTGTAAGTCAAGTTAGTAAGATATGTGATCGCTTTTGTTAGCTATGAAAATTCTACATCTTTTTTTAATAGATTCAAAACGTTTAAGTCGATCTGATCTTTTAAGCATTGGTTTTCTAGCAGCAGTGTACGAGCATAGTTTACGATCAATTAATCTTCTATTTACTGCCTGTCTTGAGATGTCATTTTTAAGGGCTAGATTTATTTCATGAGCAATTTGTTTCGCGCTATACTTAGGATTTTTTCTTGCAATTTTGTATATACTATTATCAACAGTGGTAGTTGTTTTTCTGGGTCTTCCGGATCTGATTTTATCTAATGTGCTACCTGTTTTTTTCCACTTAGCTATTGTTTTAGTGACACATGACTGCGATATGTTCTTGAGAGTCAACTGAACTTTTCTTGTAGAGTTACCAGTAAGTTGCAAGGTGATAATTCTTTCTTTGATTTCTTTTGAGACTAATATTTTACCCATTTTCTAAATATTTTAAATGCAAATAATCAGTAAAAATTGTATATTTTGATTAGCGTGTACTAAGTAAGTAAATAATTTTTTTTTTAAATGGATTTAAACATAATATTTTAGAAAATATATTTTGATCCATGTTAGAATTCCAATCTTTTAAAAAAAGGTTGGGCACTTATATGGAAATAAAGATAGAAAAAATTGAGTCTAAATTTATGAGACACATTTTATTTTATTTTAAATAGCGCTATTATTAAAAAATAAAAAAAAGACCAATATATACAATAAAAGGTGTGTGTTTTTTGTAATTATGTTGCAAACAAGTTAAGTTAAATTTAAAAAAATTCAAATATTATATTATTAAATTTTTTTTGGCATTTTATGAGCTAAGCTTAAGAAATTTTTTTTCAGAGTCTAAATTTTTGATCACTTGATGAATTTACTAATGTTTGCCAATGTTTAGGGTGAATTCTAAGTAAACTAATAAGAACACTAAGTTAAGCATTTTGCTTATTGTTGTTGTTGTTGTTCATTATTGTTGTTGCCATTTCAAAAAAAAAAACGGGTTTTCACTTTTTTTTATTGTTGACACCATGTGATATAATTTTAAAATATGGCTGATTTTAGCTCATAACAATCCGCCAAAAGTCAAAATGAATCCGATTTTTTTTTTTTTTTTTTTTACTGCTGCAACAAAACGATTGATAAGCAAAATTAGCAGAAATGTTTTATTTGCTTATCGAAGAAAATTAGCTTCGCGCGAATAATTTCGTCATGTGAAAAACAACGGTTTTTACACTTTCGCTTACGGAGAAATTAAAAAATAAATTTAGCTTAAATTGTTTCTAACTCTAGAAACAATTGGATTCCCAGAAACACAAGACGCATTTAACACGTCTAAAAAACGTATTTGCTAAGGTCTCAGGGAATGCTTTTTTTAGCACTTTAATTCTATTAATACTTATACCTCTACTAAACGCATTTCGGTTCATTTTTAACAAATGGCAACAATAAACACTCCTTGTTGTTAAATGGTATGCTTGATATTGATGAAACCGCATCATACTCCAACAGTGATGTTGACTTCATTACAGCTGAAGCATAGAGCAGTCAACATCACAGCAGTTTTTAGTATCCAGAAGCTCCAAATTTGTAATGGATCTTATGGATTACTTTTTACGTTCTAAATAGGTCTCCAAGTAAATCAAAAAGTATTTTAACTTGTTGAGAGTTAAAACCTTGAATTCTATCATAAGGTTTCAGCAGTACAAATAACAGAAAGCGTACTTTACATAGAACTTTATATTTAAGTTTCATTTGAAAAAAGTTATAACATAAGACTAAAATCTAGTTTTTTTAAGATAAAATTGATTGTTAATGCAATTTCTGTGAACTCTTTTATAGTTAAACCTGACAAATGGATCTTAAATAATGTAATTATCTTGAATAATGATATAGCTGTTTATGTGTACTTTGTACACCGAATTATCAGTTTCAGCCTAAATATATTACTAATACTATTTACTTATATCACAGTATTTACCATACTTTCTGCATTAAAAATATTTATCAGTTTTTAGATAAACATTAAGATACAATGTGTACTACTTATATATTGATTACTTCTTTTGTTCTACTTTAAATATACATTATTTTTTAATAAAAGATCAGTTGCCGATGAGGCGATAGGATGAATATGATCTTAGGATGATTGATCGACAGGATGAATATGATCTTTGAGAAAAGATTAGTCGACGATAGGATGATTATGATCTTTTAATAAAAGATTAGCTGGCAATAGGATGATTATCATTTTGTATAAGGCATTAATTGTATTTTAATTTTTTATTTAGACTTAGACTTAAGTTTATTAAGTTACATACTTTAAAGGTTTTAATTATAAATTAATACAAAACGAAAAAGACCTTATAATTTAATAAATTTCTTTCCACTCTAAATATTTATTGTACTTCTTCTCAATGCCCAGTTACAAAATTATGCATTACAGTTTCAATCGCGTTAACTCAATAGCAGATGTTTGCATAACTAGTTGCAGATGCTTTAAAAACTGTGTGTTCATAGATTAAAGCGCTGAATATATTACTTTTTCGTGATGCTGGCATGCATTTTTACCAGGGAAGCAAAAAATACATGCTAAAAATTTTTTTTTTTTTTTTTAGAACTGATGTTGTCTTTTTTCCCCGTTTTGTTATTTAAAACTTTTAGACAATTTTTTTACTAAAATGTATTTTAAAACAGATAAAAATTGTTTTGTAAAGAAAATGTTGAAGGACACGAAATGTGCAAATATTGTTTAAAAATTGATTTCATTTTATGAATTAAACAGATGCCGCTTTCCTTCTTAAAATTTTTGATTATTGAAATTATATTTAATGGCCTGAAAGTATTAAGTTATAAAATAAAATACATAAACCAACAAATAAAGACATTGCTAGCCAATTTATGTGGCATCTAAACCATTAAGTAGTTGAAGTTCTAGAAAATTTGTAAAGTGGGCTGATAATTTTATTGGGGACTGTATGCTTTGGTTTCATCACAACGCTAGGATAAAGATAACTTTTTTCCAAGTTTAATAGCGTTTGAGGCAAAAATCGAGCTTTTGTTGTCATCAATTTTTAGCAATTTATATCATTTCTATTACTATTATTTAAAGTCACGTCTTTCTTGGCGCAACAATAACACGGTCGTTTAGATGTGGAAAGTTATTATACGCAAGCGCAGTGTCAAATTCAAATATTATAATTTTAAAGATGGTGACGGCCTTTAGGTACCAAAATTTTTTCTGAGTAGCAACAATATTTTTAAAGTTTTACTTAGTAGTTATTATTTGCATATTTTTGATAGAATGAAATAATAATAAAGATAATTGAATTGTTGATTCAAAAATGATAAAAACAATATAAAGATGTTTAAATATATAAAAAACTGTGATTCTCTGCTACATTTATCTGACTGTTAAAAGCGTGATTTGTTTACATTTTCAAAACTGTTTTTCTAAAAATCTGAGCGATACAATTTAATAATTTTTACTTTTTTATTTCGAATAGTCTTATCTTGATTTGAAATTGTTTTCAGATCTGAGTATTCAATTTTTTTCTGAAAAAAAATAGAATTCACCCAACACTACTTTCGTAGATGTATGATACATTTATATTAAGGTATATAGCTAATATATATATATATATATATATATATATATATATATATATATATATATATATATATATATATATATATATATATATATATATATATATATATATATATATATATATATATATATATATATATATATATATATATATATATATATATATATATATATATATATATGTGTGTGTATATGTATATACATATATATATATATATATGTGTGTATATGTATATACATATATATATATATATATATATATATATATATATATATATATATATATATATATATATATATAATTAATAAGTATCGTGTTTTTTATTTAATAGACTAGTTGTTACCATAAAATTTCATTTGTATCCCTAGTTATATGTAACTTTATAACATCGACTATATTTTTTTAAATTTTTTTTGTTCGTTAAAAATTAATGCTTACTGCTTTATTTTTAAAATTAATGTAATATTTTTTTTAATAATTTAATTTGATTTTCATTAGCATTTATTAACTCTAAATTTCTAATTTTGAAATAGTACTGATGAAAACATAAATAAATTAGATATTGAAAAAGCCTCATAAAGAGTGAAGTAATACAGCATGAAACTCCAAAATCATGGTTGAGATTTTCTGAAAAAACATGTTACAAATCTATTTTTATTTAAAACCAAGTACTATCTCCTCGTCAAATAGCCAATAAGTTAAATATTGAATATTCACATATTTGAAAACCTTATACTGAAACAGATGACATTATGGATCTGGATAATCTGGTGGGCAACACAATGAGATAAACGTTTTTAATTAATAAAATTAATTTGCTTGATGAAACACGACAGCAAGTGGTGAAATCATATATTCTCAGACAAAATGAAGTTGAGGTAGATATGCAAAAATATGTTATTGCTTCGTGTTCTGCTATGGCGATCACCTTAAGAGTAATTTGATTTGAATTGTACATGAAAACCAACCAAGCAAGGTAATGGCAGTGTAGACTTTTGGACCTACATGAGTTATGCAGGACTTAAATGCTATTAATTATTTGAAGGTTGACTTAATGCTGATAGAAATATTGAAATTTTAGATAATTGCCTTCTTCAATCCTTATTTAAGAAAGGTGGATCTGCAAAATATTGAAATGCTTTTTTTATGGTTTTTCTTTGGTAAATTATTGTTTTAATATATTATTTGAAATATATACTTAACTTTAGTCCGATTGTTTTTTTAAATTAAGATAAAATGTTTAATTATTATTATTTTTTTTGGTATCTAAATCAAGATGTTTAGATCTTTTTTTGGATTTTCATAATGCATATAGATTTTACTTGCATTAAAAAAATAAAAGCATTTTAGTTTTCGATTTAGTTTATTTTGAATTTAATGCTTTATAAAAAAATGACAAAAACAATGTATGCTCTATTTTAAGGCCTAAAAAATCTTACCTACCTCAAAAAACTAATTTAATATCATGTCGTGGATATATGTATGTATATATATATATATATATATATATATATATATATATATATATATATAATATATATATATATATATATATATATATATATATATATATATATATATATATATATATATTAGGCCCCTGCTAAGCCTTAATATTTTGAATCAAATCAAATAAGTGATTCAAGACTTGACTCAAAAAAATTAGCAAGGTCATATCATTATAAATTTTCACAATCTTGAGTAATAACATTATTAGAATGTTATTACTCTAATAACATGAAGTTGTCTTAAAAATTTCAAGATACATTAAAAAAAAATTTTTTTAACTAAATTTAATTATGGTCATGCTTGGGTCTATTCTAAATGTTTTGCAAA